TTATATTTACCTTTTACATGTTATCGTATTTTACAGTAAAAAATCTAAATTGCCTTTATATTTGATCTTATTATCTTCATTAATAACAAAATGCCATCCACCATTACAACAGTATGTTACATTACTGACCGACAAGAATCCACCACAAGCAAAGCCCTTACTATTGTTAAGGCTGCTGAAGTAATGTGCCTTAGAACCAGTGTCTCCCCTTAAACGTTCTTTTAGTTGGTTTCTATTCTCAAAACGATGATACCCCAGATCAAACCCTAGAACTTTTTCACCTGAAGATGTTCTTTTGGTAACTGGCAAATTTCGGTTTGTTGAAAACTTAGATGACGAAGGAAAAAAATTTCCTGTCTTAAAAGTATGTCTAGTGTTAATAAACTGCAGGTTTTACTTTCTTTTTTTTCCCTTTTATATAAATAAATAAATATATATAAGATTGTTTTGCACCACGTCATTCAATTGACTATCGATCCGACCGATTTGCCTGCATTTCCCTTATTAATCAACATGACTGCTATTGTAGTTGAACCCTCACGAAGTGAATCTAATGATGATAATATTTCATTAGTTGTGGAAACCAGAGACTTCATGGACCAAGACCATACTGTTCTTAAACTAGAATGTTATTATCTAAAATCAGCGCAACACCTTATTCCTACTACCACTTCTGCAAAAAAAGGATCAACTCTTTTCATGAATGAAGAACTCTTAATTGATGATGACTATACTTTTATTGTTCATTTTTGTAGTATAAACTTCATTGAACATCAAAAATCAATCAATGCAAAAAATCTAACTGATCTCCCATGGCTAAGCAGATCAAATAAACCTCCAGTAAATGAATCAGGTACTGAAAAAGTTACATACACAATTGCTTCAAGAGTCAAAGGTGGTAGAAGAAAGAAGACGTCGACTACAGCAAGATCATATCCTGGTTTAAAAAATCACCCCAAAATTAGTGACCTTGCTAAAAAGGCACTAAACCAAAATCAGAGTGTTGATGTTCCCGACCCCTCTACCCCTT